TCTCAATATCAAACTTGAGTCCTCAGGTTCCTTGCTCTCCTGATCAGTTTCTTGTTTCAGTGAGAACTTTTCCATTTTTGTATGGGGGTTACCATGATGTGTTAATAAACCAAACTGGGGCTTTTTCTTGGTTCACTGGTTTTGAACAAGCAGCTGATGGGTTTTGCTTTGGGTTTTCCAAGGCTCATATTTTAAGCAGCTGAAATCGCGGTCACTGGGTGTCTTTCATAGCTCACTGCTCCCAGAGCCAAGAGACTGTTTGGGATTTGTAGTTTATGGTAACAATACAGCATTGCCATTGGGGAGATGTTTTGGCAAAATAGCACAGAGCTGCGATACAGCCCTTAAGGGCCATTGTTTGGGCTCTGTGAAAATTAATTTGCAAAAATATCCAGGTCTGTTGTGTGTTCTAGTTTATATGTAAATTAGAAGATTGTGGGAAAAGGATACCAGGAATGATGCCATTCAGACAACTTCAGACCAGTCATCCATTCATTGGTTAGAGTGACTCTCACTCAGTTTTGCTTTACTTACATTTGAGGGTTTTTTTCTTAATGATACATTGAACCAGTCGAGCTAGAAGAAGATACAGCATTAGCCAATATGCCACTATAACTGATGCTTTTAAAAAAATGACACAGAGCTTAAAAACTTGATTGATGGGGACAGTCATGGAAACTAAGAGAAAAGTAATTCAATCGTGATTCTCTCAATTTGGAAGTAGAAGCTGTGTCATAGCATCCCGCGGTGCCACCTTTGCTCCCAGGGGTGGCACGGGGTGTGTAGCAACTTGAAGGATCAATAGCATGGCGGGTAGTTAATGTCAGAATCAGGCGATAATGTTCTGCCCAAATCCAGAGGGAGAGTTTCTCACTCTAAATCCTGAAGCCTTGGTTCACACGTCCAGCCTCGCTGTGCAGGTGGAATCTGCTGGCTCACTCCCATGCGGCAGGAAGTGTGGCATCTCCACGCCCTCCTGTTTCCAGAGGCTTCCTCCTAATGTATTTCCTTAGAACCTAGATGACACCACATTTGCAGACATCTGAGTCTGGTCCTTTGAGCACCTAAGTTCCCTAGACTAGTTTTGACACCTTTGCTATCGTCCCCCAACACTTAACATGGATTCTAAAAGCATGGACTTCTTTCATCTGGACCAGAACCTTCCCCAGCCCAGCTGGCCCCAAGACACCAATCCCTAGAGGTGCTCTTCATGAGCTGTCGTCCCCATTAGATCTCCTTGACATCCCTGCAGAGGAGACCCAAGCAAATCCCCTCTTGCCTGGATTGAAAACTTTGTATCTAACACAGCCACCATTGTATGGCTTTTTAAAAATCCTCATTTTGTTTGCGATGGTTGACGTCCAAAGCAGGTTGGTTTGAGTCTCTGAACTTGACATTTAATTTAACCAGAAAACAGTTACCGATGTTACTTTTGATTTGCCAAAAGAGAAACTGGGAGCAGAGTCTTACAATGGCCAAGGCCATACTTAACTCTGATACTCCTTGGCTCCCATAATCTGCCCTTGTGTGGAGCCTGCTGGGAAGGAGGGACTTGACCCTCTGCCAGTAAGGCTTTCATTTGATGTGTGTGTTCAGGCCAGATGGTCTGTAAGGCACCTTCTATTTCTGAAAGATGAGGAATTCATGGCTTATTTGCAAATGAGCAGTCCAGGGACACCTGGGTGGCTCAGTCATTAAGCAGCTGCCTTTGTCTCAGGTCATGATCCCAGGGTCCTGGGATTGAGCCCCTTATCAGGCTCCCTGCTTGGCGGGAAGCCTGCTTCTCCCTCTGCCCACTCCCCCTGCTTATGTTCCCTCTCTCGCTGTCTCTCCTGCTGTCAAATAAGTAAATAAAATCTAAAAAGAAAGAAAGAAAGAAAGAAAGAAAGAAAGAAAGAAAGAAAGAAAGAAAGAAAGAAAGAAAGAAAGAAAGGAAGGGAAAGAAAATAAATGAGCAGTCCAGTAGTGAGCAAACTTAGATACCCCTTCAGGAGTGGAGCTAGTGAACAGGGGCGAGTGGCTCTCAGCTGTTCCTCCGTTGTCTGAGCAGGTGGTTGGAACCAGACTCAGAGGCCTCAGTAGTGAAGTGGGAATATAAAACCCTGAAACTGTTTGTCATAAAGAATGGCATGCCCAATAAAAGCCCAGGCAGATGTTCCCATAAAGTGTTTGTTGTTTGTGTTTTTGTGGGGGTGCTTTCGGGGTGTTAAGTTTATTAGTAAGGCTCAGAGCATCTCCCTCCCTATGTTGCCATATATTAGCAGTCTTGCAACCCATTTATGGGGTTGGAATTATTTTGGGTAATGATTTTCATGGAATAGATGAAATGCAATCTGCACTTAGCTCTCACTACCTTTATTATGCAGCTGCCTTCCGGGGGAAGACCCCCAGACGTCATAGATGGGCGCACTGTCAAAGAGGTGAGGGTCTCAAGGAGTATTAAAGCTCAAAGGGGGCTGTATTAGTTTCCTGTTGTGGCTATAACAAGTAACTGCAACTTAGTGGCTTAACATGACACAAATTTATTTATCTTATAGTTCTGGGGGTGAGAAGCCCTAAATGAACCTTGGGGGGGCTAAAAATCAGGGTCAGCATGCCAGTGTTCTTTCTGGAGGCTCAAGGGGGGGAGAATCCATTGCTTCGCCCATCCCAGCTTCTAGAGGTCACCTTGGTTTATGTCCCCTTCCTCCATCTCCAACGCCAGTATCTTCTGCCCTCTCTTTCCACCCAAGATCTTCTCTCTATGTCTCTGACGCTACTACACCTCTCTCTTAAAAAAGACCCTTGGGATTACATTGGGCCCACCCAGACAATCAAGGATAATCAACTCATCTCAGTACCCTTAATTATTTCCACACAGTGTCATTTATTATGGAAGTTTAACATCTTAGGATGTGAACATCTTTGAAGGAGGACCATTATCCAGCCTGCCATTAAGGCTATAGAGACCAATGAAAGCCCAAAAGATAAATGATATATCTAAAGCCACCCAGCTCCTCTGGGGCAGTGCCATGGCCTTATCCCAGCATCCTCCTATCTGCCACGTTTCTGTGCATCACTGACAAAGATGGGTAGGAGCAGGCCTGACGGGGCCTTTATTTGCATAACAAACTGGAAATGATTGAGGAGTAAGTATAGGATTGTCAGTGATTTAAAAATAGCAGTATAGAGGAGACAGAAGTTTGTATTTTTAAAAAATGCATGTTTAATTCAAGAGCTTCTTTAAATATTATCATTTGGCTAGGGCGTGCTACCTTCTAAAGATGTTCAGTGACTTGTAGGGATAACATGATTTAAATACTGATGGGAAATGAAAGTGCTAAGGAACACAGGTACAGGTTCTTCTCTTCTTCCTACTCCCACCCCCTCTGCTTCTCTCTCTATATTTATTAGTCTACCCATGGCTGCCATTTGAAAGTCAGTTGGAGTTAGAAAACCAACTTAAAGTCTTTAAACTAAAAGGAATAGAAGAACCAACCAATGGGCTTATTGCCATGGGTTAAGGCAAATTAAGTATTCGCCATATTTTACAAGGAAGCCCCCCTTTGGTGTTGAAACATTCTTCTAAGAATCTGAGAAACTTACTTTTGGCTTTCCTCCCCCTTCTGCCCAGCAATGGCCTGTAACAAATAAAAGGTTGGTAGAATTTTGGATTTCAGTGGTACTAGACATACTCTCCAGCCTGATCCTTCTCCTGAAATGTGGGTCTTTTATAGATTATGTTTGGTAGGGATTTGCTCTACTCCTCTCTTGCCTCAATTTTCTCCATCCGTGACATGAGAAAGACTGTTGGCTGCTTGAAATAAAGGCTGAATTAAATTTGAGTTCCTGAGAGGACAAGTGCGTTTGAGAGGGTTGTGACCTGTTAGTTTCATCTACTCTAGAAATCACTCCCTAACTCCACTACCCACTGTGTCAGGGTGCGGTGCCCCTCACCTAGCGATGCATAACCCACTCACCTCATTCTGCAACACTGCACCCCACTCCCTGCAAAGTGGAATCATTCTTACACATATCTGCCTTACTCTAAATTTACCTAAGCCAGGGCTGGGCATGCAACAGGAGCTCATTGTACTGTCCATGGACACTGTGGATGGATGAAGGAATGAATAATCATACAGGCTCATAGCCACATAGTGGACACATGGATCCAGAGCCTCAGTGGAAATACTGAGCACGGAGGAAGGTGGGCGACAGGAAAAGGCTGAAGATACAGTCTGTGATCTTTACTGATGTAAAATTAATAATTGGTTCCCCCTGCTCTGCTAACTTTCTTAAGCAGAAGGAAACTGGAAATTGCCACAGAAATTTATTTTCACAGATATTTTAATGTGGCATGGAAGATGAGTAGACCATTCCCCTTTGGGTATTTGCCCCCAACACTCCATGTCGTTTCTTCTGCCTATCAAATCAATGCGTTCTTGAGCTACTGGTACATTAGGCTAGTGACACAGTGCTGGATTAAACAAAAACAAGGTCATTTTGCCAAGCTCCCGTCTGGCCTTGATTGGGGGTCATAAAACTCATACATTCCCTCAGTTCGGTTTTGACAACTCACGGAATAACACCTTGTGTATGTCACATGTTACTTTCTTTTAAAAGCTTTCAAAACCTTCTGTATAGAACAAGGGTGATTCCCGTATCATTCCTACCACATGGAAAAGCAGAGCATCAGCTCAGGAATTACTAAATATTCAGTGTACTTCAAAAGATCATGTGGGTGGACTACGCCATCTTTCCACAAAGATGTTAATGCTAGCTGTACTCATCAAAGTCTGAAACAAGATGAGTGGGTCTGAAACAAGAAAATCTGAAGGTAAAACTTAGTAATTGACCAAGAGCCAGGCCGGGAAAACACCCTAGTGACACCCAAGGGTCTCTATAGGTGGGAAACGCCAGGTGGCCCTTTCTGATGTCACCATTTTGGTGCCATGGCTCTTCTTGCATTGTTTCTTAAAACTTCCACCCAGACTAATTCTACAATTTCTTTTTGTTTCTAGTTCCTTCTTTCTGGGGATTGGTGAACTCAGCTTGGAATCTTTGCTCTGTGGGGAAACGGCAGTCACCGGTCAACATAGAGACCAGTCACATGATCTTCGACCCCTTTCTGACGCCCCTGCGCATCAACACTGGGGGCAGGAAGGTAAGCAGCCATGGTACTTCCATTGTGAAGTCAAGGATGTCGGGAGATGCTGATTCTGAAAGCCAGTCCTCTGGGTCTCCAGCTCTCTGATGAGTTTGCCTTTCCATCTAGGAGTAAAATCACAGACCTCAGGTCTGCTGCCAACCAGTGTAATTATGTCTGAATTGTGCTTTCTCTTTCCTAGCTAGTCAAACCCTCATGCTTCTAATTACTTTGTACCCCCTAGAGGTTGCCTAAGGCCCTATCCCTTGGTACCTCATGAAGGTCAGAAAGCAGTGTTGCTTCCCAAGCATATCACACTGGGAAAATGCCTCCTTTTTACTGGGGCTTCTTTTAACCTCAACAAAGTAGGGCAGGGGGGAATTGCTTTAACAAAAGTAAAATCAGAAATTTATCATCTTGGAAGGAAAAACAAATAAAAATCACCTTAGATGATTTATAAGAAAATCAATAATTAATCTTTCTAGGGGCATCTTGGCTGGCTAAGAATCCTAGCTCTTGTCCAGAAATGCTGAGCTATACCTTGTGATTCTCACACCAATGTCCCTCCTTCCCCCACCTCCCATCCCCCCACCCCCACCGCCGTGAGATGTTCCTCCTTAATTTTTGGAAGGTCATAATGCCCGTGGGGTTTCTTGTTGTTGGGCTCTAGCATTTCTCTTGTGGGTTAATTTCTTTCTGGCTACCTTTTACTGTTGAGTAGTTCATTGAAGGTGGGAAATACACACACACAGCAAATTGTGTTTGAAGGTGATTTAGTTATTGTGAACTCAAGAGGAATGGAAAATCATTTGTGTCCAAGAAATTGGGATTAAAATTATGGACAGTCTTTGTTACTGCTGGCAGCCGATTCTCCAGGGTTTGCGTTCCTGAGGCTCTGCCCTCTACTTATTCAGTCCGTTTGCCTTACTTACCGTGGAGTTTGTAAGAAAGTTTTTCTCCTTCTGATATATTGGAATGTATTCTTTCCTATTACATAACTGTCCCCAGAAAACCAAACAAAAAAATAAACCCAAATTCTAATGACGGTTCTCAGAGATGTTAGTAACTTTGACTCAGGTCGCAAAGTGGGTTTTAAAAGGCTTTGCACATGATTGAGACTATCTATCTATGTAGTGTTTGTGTGCTGTTTTGAATATGACTTGAGAAGCATTTTTCTAGAAGAGTCCTATGTAGGTCATGTAGTTTATCGCTCTGATTCCATGGAAATTAACCTACCCAAATTACTGTTCCATTTGAAGTTTTATTTTTATAAACTCCATATATTTATTTTTATTTTTATATTTAACTCCATTTTATAAACTCAAGGGAATTTGCCGTGGGTCCTACACATACCTCTCTCCTTCAAGTCATGACCATGGACAGGCTCAGTGACCAGTGTTCAGAAAAGGCAAGTTGCAGTTTTGACTTTTTGATCACTCTTTCCTTCTTGGAAAGGGCGATGAAGGGAATAATTGTATTCTGGACAAAGGGTGAAGCAGTAAAAATGCAGAATGAGGGTTGGTACCTGAGTTCCAGAAATCAGCTAAAAGGTGACCAGCAATGGGCACCTGGGTGGCTCAGTGGATTAAAGCCTCTGCCTTTGGCTCAGGTCATGATCTCGGGGTCCTGGGATCGAGCCCTGCATCCAGCTGTCTGCTCAGTGGGGAGCCTGCTTCCCCCTCTCTCTCTGCCTGCCTCTCTGCCCACTTGTGATCTGTCTGTCAAATAAATAAATAAAATCTTAAAAAAAAAATAAAAATAAAAGATGGCCAGCAAGACTGAAGCACTGAAGCACTCCTTTTTAAACAAAGAGGAGGATGTGGGAGGTAAGGATGGAAAAGGAAGATGGGGCCAAATCTAGAGGCTGTGTGAAGGAACTGGATCTTTTTCCCGAGTTATGGCAAGTGATTGAAGCATTTTAGGTCAAGAATATGTTGGACCCGGGATGGGAAAGGTGACAAGCTGACGCAAATAATGGACCCATAAGTTTCACTTTTCCATCAGCCCATCTTAGAGGAAAATATTGATGTGAAAAAAAAAAAAAAACAAACTAATTCAAGACAGCTTCTCCTAAAATTTATTGCGAAAGATGAGATGGGACAATTGCATGGTGTTAAAAAGCACTCATAAGTTTTGGCTTGGTTTTTCTTTTTGTTGTTGACAGAGATTTTTTTTTTTAATATATATTTTCAATTCAGTAAAGTGTACCTGATCCAAATCAATTTTCAAATGCACTGGAGTTTGGAATTTTGGAAACATTTACTCTCAACGATGTAAATATTTATATCTGGCACGATTTGTGTTGTCAGCTGTTTGAAGAGCTGAGAACTGTCTGGTGGTTTCCTTTACATTAGTGAAAGGTGGAAAATAAAATATAGATGGTAGGAGGATAAACTAACTGGTAATGAAATGTCTAAACGTGATAGACAGTAGCTAAACCACATTTGCCAGCTTTTTAAAGGTGCCGTTTAATGAGTTGGAGACTTACTTTGGAAGTGAGTATTCAAATCACTGCTGTGAATTTAGTTTTGCCTTGAAGAGATAGGTATCAAAAGGTGTAAAGACCACCCTGCAGAACTGGGAGGTTTTGTAGAACGTGGGCAAGGTGCCACAGTGTGAAGTCTGAGGTCTGCTGGGTATCAGCATGTAAAATGCGTCCCAGTCATTATGTGTTTTATGTCACATTCTTATCCCTGAGCATGATTCCTGCTCATGTTTCAGTGTACCTTATGCCCAAGTCCGTGAATGGCCCCGCCGCAGCCTCTGACTTGTGTTACTGTGTTCGTTTTAATGTGTCTGACCCAGCATGGGGATCAAATCATGAATGAAGGGCTTATCTTAGCATGGGCAAGGGCTGAAATTCGACCTGAATAATAATATATGGCAATCAAAACTTATCGTGTCTTGGATATAACGGAGTATATTCATTGTACTTGAATAATGGTATTTCTTTTTCTTTATAGGTTGCTTCTTTTCAGTGGTAATTCTTAAGTAATGTTTGGGTTTGTTTTTGTTTTTGTTTTTTTTCTTGAACAAGAGTGGGTTTTTTGTTTTGTTTTGTTTTTTACCCCGTTCATATCTGACACATAGGACTCTTATGGGCAAAATTTAAAGTAACTGTGCTTTTTAAAGAATATTCACTGAAGGTTGAGTTGTGTATGGTCACAAGAATCTTTCCTTAGACTCAGTCTCCCACCCTTGACCCCATTCAACTTGACTCCTAATAGTCTAAACAGTTTTGTTTTTCTTTTTCTTAATCTTGGAGTTAATTAATCTATTTTAGAGAAAGCTACTGAGCGAACCCAGGAATTAGAGTAGGCAGGTGGAGATAATTCTTCCTTCACAGTCTCAGATCATTTAAAATCCCTGTATGTGGGAAATTAGATTCTGATTCATCTGGTATTTTAAGCTCAGTTCAAGCCTGATGGACTGTTTTAAAGGTGGAGACCCTTGATAGTCAATGGACTTACACAGATTCGAATATTTTTTTTTACCTTCCTTGTCTTTTTCCTCACATCAAAGTGGGTGTACCTTATGTGTTTGTGTCTTAACTTTTGTGTGCTGTTCACCCAAGTAAGCTTCCTGGTAATGCGAAAACAATGTAGAGTGTGAATGTTACTGAATAGCAAACTATGAATGGCCTGGCTTAATCATTTTGGGGTATAATAGTTCCTCCAGATATTTGCCTGGAGCATTCTCTGAGACAGGTGAGGTGGGTGCTGGAGACTTTCTGGATTAAGAGGTGAGGTTAGTATGTGCTATGGTGAGTGCTGTGAAGTGTGTAAACCTGGAGATTCACAGACCTGTACCCCTGGGGGGGGGAAATATGTTTATAAAAAATAAAATTTAAAAAAAAAGTTAAAAAAAAAAAGAGGTGAGGTTAGCATTCATGGAAGAGGTGTAGTTTTTAGATAACCTCTCTACTGATCTGAAATATCTAAAAGAAGAAAAAGTATATTAAAATGGAGTTAGAAATCACTTGCTGATCCTGCCATTGTAACCAAAAATCAGTTCTGGTATCCTTCTTCATCTTTCTGCTCTTTTAATAAAATGGACATCTCAGGTGTTAGTGACATGAGCATTGCTTATGATACATTAAATGTAAAAGGTAGCATCTAACATCATTCATTTAATGATCCCAATTTGTTTAAAAAGTATCCATGCTATGCCTAGAAAAGAGACCAGTGTTAAGAGTAATATTGTTTCTTTCTACTTTCTTAAAGCTTCTAGATTTTCTATAACAAGTCTGCATTAATTTAATAATCTGAAAAACATGTATAGATTTTTAATTCATCCCTTTGTTTTAGGCAAAAATATACTTAGAGTTGGCAAATGCGGTAGATGGACTAATGCCCTCTCCTAAAGATTTTATATATATATCTCATATGAGATATATATATATATGAGATATATATATATATACATATATATATATGTATATATATATATATGTATATATATATATATATATATTATATCTCCTAACCCCCAGAACTTACGAATATGTTATCTTATGTGGGCAAAAGCTATCTGAAAGATGCAATTAAGTTAAACATCTTAAAATGGATAGATCATCCTCTATTATCCTGATAGACCCATTGTAATCACACAGTTCTTACAAGGAACAGACAGAGGAAGAGTCCAAGGCAGAAAAAGAGATGTGACAGAGGAAGCAGAGGTCAGAGAGATGTGTTGCCATGAGCCAAAAGATTGTGGGCAGCTTCGAGAAGCTGGAAGAGGGTAAAGAAATAGATTCTTCCCTGGAGTCTCCAGAAGGAAGACAGCCCTGCTAAAACCTGGATTGGAGCCCAGCAAAACTGATTTTTGACCTCTGACTTCCAGAATGTAAGATGACCGTTTCAAGGAGATTGGTTGCCATCTCATGCAAGCAGAGGGATGGAGCAGAGGACAGAAGACCCCAGCTGCACTCCTCCCCACCTGCCCTTTGCCAGACTCCCTCTGGGGAGAAGTCAGAGACCAAGACAAGACTGTTGATTCAGTCTACATAAGCCAGCCTC